CACCATTGAGGCAACATTTGTGTCCTCCCAGCCAGGAGCAAGGCGCACAAAAAGCCAAGGCATCATGGAGCTGGGATGGAGAAGGGTGAGGAGCGTCCATCATACATCCCCATGTAAATGGGGACATGCAGCATCCTCTGAACACCCCACATCCTCCTGTTCTGCAGGTTTTTCCTCACAGCCCTGATCTGCACCACCAAACACCTGAGACACACTATCTGATGAAAGAAACAGCAACCGCGAAGCTAAATCTGCAAGACAGGGATATGCACCTTCCTTAAGTCACGGACTTGAAGGCCATGGGAGAAAATTAGTTCATCTCACCTGACCTCCTAGGTTGCACAGGCCATTACATCCCTCCATTACCCCTCTATTGAGCCCAATAACTTGTGTTTGACAGAACCATCTTTCAGCAAGGCAGCCAGCCTTGCTCTGCAGATAACAAGCGACAGAGAGCCGACACGGCTTTTGGCAGTTTGCTCTAATGCTTAATCATTTTTTTCTATTAAAAATATGAGCCTCATTTCTAATTCAAACGTGGTTGTAGCTCAGCTTCCAGTTATTGGCTCTAGTTATGCCTTTGCTTGCTGGTTTAGTACCCAGTATCTTCTCTGCTTGGAGGTAATTACCAAAAGGAGTCAAGGCATCTTTCCAGCTTCCCTTGAATTCACTGAACAGACTATTTTAAGTCTTTCTCTTTTTGGCAGCTCCCCCTGCACCCTTCACATCCTTCTTTACTCCTGTTTTCCCAGGGTCCTTCTCAAATCACTTCTTTGATAACATCACAGGAACTAAGCAGTGATCTAATACTGTCTTTGTTTGTACATATGCAGCCGTTGGCAGAGCTGGCTCACTCTTGGATCCAAGAGTCCCCTTTTTGGCCAGCCTGTCCCAACACAAACTCACAGTTTGGGGCACCTCCGTCCTGGCACCCTCCTGCAGGAGCTGTCTTCTGTGCTCTCTGCCATTTTGCTTTTTTTGGTCATAATTAAGCCCTGGAGGTGTGTGGCAGCACAGACCTCATACTGTCACTGTTCCTGGGCAGCTGCTCTGCTCACTTTGAGTGGGAATCAGCCCTGAGTTTTGCCCAGAGACAGGGAAGTGGGAGAAGGGAATGCTGCAAAAAGATGCCTGCAATGACTGTGTCTCACAGCGGCTTGGTGAGCTTTTTAATGGCCATGAAAAGCCCCACTGCTCTTTCCCACTTCTGGACAAAACCCTCCATGGGCCAACACAGCAGTCCTCACACCACCATGGCAAAAATCACATTCATGAACACTGCTTTGGCAGCTAAAAATGTGAGTGGTGCTTCCCCTCCTGAGCCTTTGGAGGTGATGGGAGCACTCTTGGTGTGGTTATGCTGCTCCAGCAAAGCAAGTGGGGTTTGCAAAGCTCGTGTATCACTACTGACATCAGCAGCAAGGAACAGCCTGGTGCTTTTGCACAGAGCAACCCAGCAGCATAATCACACCTGCTTTGCATTGTTGTGAAGAGCAAGGGTGCCCCAGGTCCTCCCTCCATGCTCCTTGCTCTGGGTATGGAAGGGTTTCTGAATTTGGACCTTATCTGGCCACTTAAGTCCAACGCTTCAGGTCAGCTGGAGATAGGGAAATTCCCTCTCCCTAGAATTCATGACTCTGTGAGCAGAAGAAGCAGAAGCAAACCCACATGCTGGCCAGAGGAGGAGGAATGGCAGGAAGGGCTGGATGATGAAGGCTGTGGCAGAAAGGGGAGGTTGCCCATGGGTGACATGTCCAGGAGGCTGCCTGGGAGCTGTCCCACTCCATGGTGTAATACAGAAACATGCAGATCTGTGTGGTCAGAGGTCCCTGGGCTGGGCTGCCGTGGGTGGGAGTCCTGGCATTGGGGATGTCCAAACCAACACACCCCATTTGGGAAGCCTTGTAGGGTGAGGATGGCACAGAATCATCACACAGGTTTTTAAGCCCAATTCTGTGGCTTTAGAAAGTTCCTTCCCAGCCTGTGTCTTAACTTCTCCTTCTGCATTTTCATTTAGACGCTGACATACCTGTTTACCACCAAGGTGTGGAAGGAATGAGAGGTGGCACAGGCTGCCCTGTGTCCCCAGTGCAGCACTGGAGTCCTTTCCCTGGGTTTCAGTGAGGGCAAATGACAAAGAGGAGGAAGAAGCTGGTGAGGCCAAACAGCCTTTTCAGAGGGCAGCTGCCCTTGGCCAGCAACTCAGGGAAGTCAGGCACAGAGGGAAGGGGAAGCAGCTTGAGTCCATATGGCAAGAGCAGGGATGAACTCTGCAGTGGAGGGCTGAGCAATTATTTCCCCAAGAAAGTGAATGGCACTACATCAACTGCAAAGACATAAAAAGATGGCAAGTTCTAGCTCCACTATACAAACAAAATATTTCACACACCCCTAGCTCCAGCTGGGAGCAGGCACTGCCTCAGACCAACACAGGTCACACAGCATCCAGAAAGCAGCCAAAAGGCAGAGAGTTGCTTTCCTCCCTGACCAAGAAGACACAATGCATCCATGACATGTGACAAGCCATGCCATGCAAGCCTGCTCCTCATGGAACGTGAAGAGTTGGGATGTGTTCAGCACAAAGCTACTCAAGCTCTCCAGCTGTGGAGAGGAAAAACATCCAGCGTGGGAGATGCTCAAGACAAAACAGCCCAACATGAGTGAAAATGCAGCACCAAGGTCTGAGCAACAGCTCCAAACCTCCTCATGGTTTCCTTGCATGGACCAATTGAGTGATGTCCTGTCCTCCAGAGCTGAACCTCCAGAGACCCACCTCCTCATCCTACACATCCAAACTCAGCCACACAGGACATTGAGTTTCCCTGTGAACCTGACTCTGGTCCAGTCATTTTTTTGTGATCCCTATGTCCTCCACATCTGCCACTTGGGGCAACTGCAGCGCTGGAGAGCCACTGCTGGTCTGTGCCGACACAGTTCTGTGTACACGCTGCTGGGCTCTGCTCCTCATGTCCCCAGAGCAAGAACAGATTTCTCCATGCTGCTTGGCACATCAGCTAGTCATTGTTCACTTGCTTTTGACAAACACCCCTCTTCCTCCCCAGCATCATCAGCAGCCAGGCTGCCCAGGCTGGTACCCTGTGAGTGGTGCAGAGAGGGGCACACAGCCTGGCAACAGCCGTGCTCAGCAGGCTCTGCATGGCTCCTGTCAGCACAGAGGAGACCATCCTGAAGAGAAAACAAGCAGCCGTCACCCTAGGGATGGTATCATAAACAATTTTAATAAGGCATTTTGCTCCCCCTCCCCACCATCCTAACTCATGCGAACGCTGCCTTGTTCAGTTGGCAGCAAACGATAAAGACCCCCAGGGAGCTCAGGAGGGGGAGAAAAGGGACATCTGTTTAGAGCATTTCTACTGTATGGCTCTCCCAGGCTATTTCTATCTCTTCTTGTCAAAATTTATCAACTGCGTAATTGTTTAAACAGCATTAAAGTGCTTGGAGCAAGAGCAACTGGAAACTGTCCTGCAGTTGCCTCTGGTACTGATGCTGACAGCTCAAGAAGGGACTGGGGAGGAAAGGGATCCACTGGGCATGGGAACCCTCTGACTCCTTTTTTGGGGATAGACACCACCCAGTCCTGCTAACATAATCTCACTTTATCCTGGTGTCCTTCCCTGTTTCCCAGGCCCAAAGCTCTGCTCCTTCTCCTCTGTTCCCTGTCCTGACCTGCTCTCAGCACACATTTATTCTGCTAAATTATTTACAGCAGATGCAGTGGCTTGGGAAACCACAGCTAATGACAATGTCTTTCACGCTGAAGCACCCTGGACCTTGCCATTAACCTGCCAAGCCCTTGGCTGGCACCTCACTGAGCACCTGGGCCCCACTGCTGTTCCCAGCCACCACCAGAAGTTGCAGAGAGAGATGGAAGAGCTTTGGATACTGGGAGAAGATGAGAACTTGCTGCTGTCTTCCATCTCCTCACCTTCAGACAGAAGGGATGTGGCCACAGAGGATCTCCACTGTGGCGTCTTCCCATTCCTGGTGACAATACCTGGCTTGGGTACCTGCAAATATGGGCACATGTGGGCAGTGGCAGGCAAGAGTTAAACCCTGTGCTGGTGACATTGGTGGGGTTTCCTCTTTCACCACCTTTTGGGAAGCAAACAGTGATCTTATTTAAGTACCACAGCCCTTTGGAGCTGTGGTGGAGAAAGGAAAGCAGCATTTACACATGGAGCATCAACTCCTCTGCTCCTTGCCCCATAGCTGCAGTGACAGGAGGTGGCTGTATCCCAGCCTGTTCCTCCCCTCCCAGGACCCTGGAAGCTAGGGACACATTGCTGGTGGGCAGCAGGAAGTTTGCACCAAATATTTTGACAAGGGGCACTTAGGAGCACCTCAGAAAAAATCCTTCCTGGACTAGAGGCCAGTACAAACAGAGAACCAGTGTGTGTCCCCTCCAGTCCCCAGAGCAGTCAGGGTCCCCACTCATGGCCACCATCCCCCAGATAAGGAGGAGGGTTTGTCTTCTCAGGCCTAGGCATCCCTAATTCCTGGAACTGCAGAGCAAGAGTTGTGGGAAGCTGTTTAGACTGGACTTGGAATTCTTTAATTACAGAGATGTTTTTGTTATGTTAGGCAGGATAAACAAATCTCATGAGAGCAGAAGGAGGCTGTGATGCCATTCACCCAGGACATGGGACATTGGTACTGCATGCAGCATTTGTTATTTGTGCTAGGCAAGAATAGGGAGGGTTTTCCAGGAAGCTGTCAAACCCCAAAGTCCTTTTCCCTTTTCTCATCCAGACCAGCAGCTGGAGCCAGGCTCCCTCTCAGTCCTATCCCATGATCTTATTCCCAGCTCAGCTGCAGGAGAGGATGCACAGGGAGCCTCTGGGCTCATTTCACATGGAGATCCAAAGTTCAGGATCCCACATTCAGTGTGAGGGTTCTTGCATCTTAAGCAGCCTCTCTCTGATAGACACTCTATCCTTGGCTCTGGCTCGTTGCTGGCAACCCTGGAACTCTGCCACTGAAGGAAGATGGAAAGGGAATGACCACCTTCTCCCCTTCTCAGAGCCTTTAAGCTTCATGATGCTCCTGCCATGACTCCAGTGGAGCCATGGGCTTTCCATAGCACCCAACAGAGCACGAGCTCATCGGTCACTGGGTCAAGTGTGGGGCCACAACCCTTCAGGTACCAGTGGGGACAGGACATGGGAATGGGATACACTGCATGCACTGGCCACCTCCTGGGCCTGCTCTTCCCTCAGACAGCTCTGGCAAGACCAGGGCAGAGCTGCTGGTGCTGTTGTCCCAAGCTACTCATAAATGCCCCGTGATGCTCCGCTGGCCCCACCACCGCGCGCTCCGTGCTGTCCCCAACTCCCCCGCAGGAAAGGGGGAGCCGTAAAGATGGAGAGGGAATATTTTTATTGTTTCTGACACCGGCTGCCCCAGATTATCATGTTTTACATAGCGAGCCAAGGAAGCATCACTCTGCTATGCTGCAGCTGGGCTGGCTGCCCAGCCCAGCGAGGGGAAGGAGGAGAGGAGCAGTGGGGTGTGGGTGTGAGCGTACAAGTGTGTGCACGCGTGGGCCACGGGGCACAGCTTCATTCAGCCCTTCCCGCTGCGGCATGCAGCCTGCAGCCCACTGAACAGGGCGCAAAGGTCGCCTGCTGCCCGCAAACGTGTTTGTTTTTCTAGTCCGGCTCCTAATTCGATTAGGACTAATTGCATCTGGGAGCGTGGTGGGGTTTTTGGGTGGGTTTTTTTTGGCTTTCTCCTTAAAGAGCCGGGATAGTAATTTGCATACTGTTACCCAGTACGCCTTTCCAGCTCTCAGCCGGGCCAAGACCCAAAATCTGGTCGCAGGCAGCACAGTTCATCCACTGAATTTTCCCAGCCATGCACGAACAGCACAATGCAGGAAGGCAGCGACTGGAGAGCCTGCACGCCTTGTGAAAGTTGAATTTCAATGAACGATGCATACATGCAGGCTTGTTGACACTCCTTTTCTGTGGCTCTCAGGAATCAGGGAGTGATGCCTGCTGTGCATCACCCCAGGACCACTGCACCTACCCAGACCCCGGTGCTTCAGGCACACGGGGGGAAAAAACCCTCCACAGAAATGAACCCAACTGCTCTGGGGTGCATCTCCTGATTCTGGAATATCAGCAGTCATTAAAATTAATTAGTCCCACCCTTGCTGTAGATTTGGTCCATATTAATGTAGTCCTCAAGCACTGCTTGGGCACAGCCTTGAGGTTGCCCTTGTGTAGAACTACCCCCAAGGGGCAGGAGCACACTGGGAGGGTGAGACGGATGAATCAAAGGGGTGGGTGCCGTTCCCTGCCAGCTGGCCCTGGTGCCAGGGAATGGCTGCAGTCATGTTTAACTTGTTCCTCCTGAAATAGCCTAAGTTTACATCACCACGGGAAAGGATTGGAAGAGTTCAGAGGGGAAAAATCCATCAAAAGGGCTTTTTTTTTAAATAATAAAAAAAACCGCTCTGCATCACAGATCACTGGATATGAGCAAGGAACTATCTGCACACACTGACCCTGAGCCTGTGTTTCTCCATCAGCATCCAGGCAGGAGCACCAGCCTGACAAGAGGCACCGTGATTTGAGTGCCCACATCTTCACCACTGGCTGCCAGAGACAGCCAAACTTCTCTTCTCCCAAGCTGGCATGCCATCAGTGCCCTTCTGCAGTTTTTTCCACCCAACCAAGCCATGGAATTAGGCAGCCACACACCAATCCCTGGCACTGTTTTTCTCTACTGTTTAGTTAGTGCCCATCATGGGATGCTGACACCTGCTCTAGTGGAGCCAGAGGTGCATATCTTATGTGGATAGCTTATTACCGTCTTGTTTTGCTTCTTTATTTTGGATAGGTGAGGTAGGAAAAATGTTTTACAAACAAAAAATAGATGCAAACTTGCAGTACAACCCTCTGGTTGCAGCTGGAGCCCAGCTGGGAGGAAAAAGACTTCTAAGACCGAGAAAAGGGAGGCTCTGATTATTTATTAGTGACCGATGTTTGATTGCTTGCTAATCAGTCCAGAGAACACTCAGGCTCTCCTGGCCTCTTCACTCACATGTGGTTCCTGTTGCTTTGCCCCTTTCCCCCTCCCTCTCTCTGGTTTTGCTTTGTTTGTTTTTCTGTTAATTTGGTTGTTTTTTCCATGTCATTTTCCGTCAAACCGCATGTTTTTTCCTCTTTCTCTCGCCAGCCACTGCAGTGACAGACATGGAGGAAGCAGGCCAGCCTGGGACTGCTTGTACTCTGCCAGTCCTTTTCCCACATCCATGGCCTGGGAGGCAGCAATGCCCATGGGGCACCAGGCTACAAGACCCCAGGCCACCACTGCAACACAGAAGACAACTCCACTGCCTGAATCCCGATCTGTGCCCCTGCATGGAGGGGATTCTGCTGCACTTCCTCTCCCATGCAGACCCCATCCCTGCTTGCACTCCATCCTGTCAGGCAGCAGCCTTTTCTTGGGCAGCAGGCTGAATGATGAAGGTCAGATGCACGTCCACCAAGGCTTGGGCATCCCCAGAGCAGGACAGAAGGGCAAAGGGGAAGAGGTGCAGGGTTGGGATGGAGATAAGCAGGTTAGACAGGGACGGAGGGATGGGAGAGGAAGGAGGGTGCCTGCCCTGGCTGCCTCCCCCCGCCCTCCCTTCTTTGCACACAAGGCCTCCCCGCTCTCATGTGCACTCTCCAGCTTCTGGCAGCCTTTCCGATGCGCGTTTCCACTCCTCTCTGGCCCATTAGCAGTATTTTTATAACATTCTGTAACGCACAGAGCCGTGTGCCAAACCTCAAGAGTGCATTATTTCCCAACGTCTTTGTTATATCCACCCCCGGGCCCTCCGGCTGCGCCTTTCCAAATGCTTGTGGGGGCAGCCAGGAGCCCGGCACCACGCTCCTGTTACCCAGAGCCTTGCACTCCCTCCTGCCCTGCTCCTGGTTCTCAGCCCTGGGCTCAGGCCAAGGATGCCTGGTGTGTAAAAAGACCTGGACTCACCTCCTGCTTCTGGCCACACATGGGCATCTGCTGCTGTCAGGCTGCAGGGCAGGTGATCACTAAAGATAAATACCCAGTTGTTCTCCTGTGCTTCAGCTCATGCTTGGCTGCCTGAAGAAAGGGGCAGACAAACAAGTCACTGGCCAAAGTGCCCTGGAAGAGGTTTCCCCTGGAGAAGTGCCAGCTTCCCCCAGGCCAGCTTGTGCTGAGGAGGATTCATGTCTTGTAGGTGGCTGATCTGGGACCTTCAGCAATAGACAAGCCTGTGGGTCCCTCCTTCTTGCCATCTCTGAATGCACACTGTCGCACTACACATCCACCACTGTTACCATTTCTGCAGTGAGTGAGACAGCCCTGATACCCCTAGTGCTGCTGGGCTCCCAGCCACGTCCCCCATGATGAGGACTTGGGTGTCAAACCCATCTCAGGGACTAGATGAACTACCTGTGCCTTCCCTCCTGCCTGCTGAAACACACTGATGAGATACCTTCACACACTTGCGCTGCAACATTATGTAGCATGCTGGTCCCTTCAGCATGAAATCCCCACCCCAGATATCATATATATATACATATATATATCTATGATATATAATATAAATATTGTCCCTCCTTAGCCACTGGCATATCCAACCAAATCCACCTGGTCCTTGTCCAGAGCCATTACAGATAACACCACAGAGAGCAGCCCAAATGCAGTCCCAACATGGTGCTGAAGCCTCCCCATCCCTTCCAGGAGCTCCCCCTTTCAGCACAATCTGATCCCCTGTAGCTATTTCCTAAGCTGTGTTCCAATTCTCATACTAATCCACATTTTCTCTGGTTTAACTCATAATTTCCCATGTGGCATCATAGCAAATACTTCACTGAAGTCAAGACAGATTACACTGACCACATTTCTGGGCTTAGAAAACTGGGTCCCCTATCAAAGAGAGCTATCAGGTTAATCTGCTGTGATATATCCCTGGCAAGCCCCCCTTGTATTTTTTTCCCATTTTCCATTTGTCTCCACGTCTTTAATTGCTCCCTCTTCCAAGTGCACCACGCGGCCCCGCTGTGCTGTGGGGTCAGGCTGTCTGATGAGGACTTTTCCTGCACTCCGGCTCACATTGACTGGGTACCACCACTGACCTCTCAGCTGCTAATGAGCCTTGCTAATGAACAGATGTCCTCACATGGGGATGAGGTGCTCCCCAAGCCTTCAGTGCATTGTTGTCTTTGAAGGTGCCTCCACAACAGAGGATCACCTCCAGGTTTTATGTTCCCTCCTCTCCCTTAGCCTGTGCTGCCCTTGCTCTCAGCATCGCTGCTCAGACCTGGTGGGGTGCATTTGGTATCGTCCTCTGCTGAGCTTACTTCTACCCTCCCCTGAAACCTGTCTGCAGAACCAGCTCTGCTCTTCTCTCCTCGTTTGCTCTGTATTTATATGGCTAACCCCGCTTCTCATTTCCTCTGCAAGGTCTCGCTCAGCTTGACTCCTGGCAGGTCTCCCTTTATCCCTGTGCTCGCTGACCCTCATGACAGAGCTTGCTTTGCTAATTGACACCCTTTCCTGGTGTCAATCGACCCTTCCCTGCTCCCTCTACATATCCTTCCTGTGGTGCTGTATGCTCAGGAGCACCCCTGCCTTGCCTGGGGAGCACATTCCAGGTACCATCATTTATTTAATGAGATCCCCAGCACTTCCCCACGTGCAGCCCCAGCCCCTCACTCTCACTGCAGTCATCTTCCTCGTTGCCCCAGTAAAAGAGAAAAATGCAGGCATTTTTTCATTTTCAAATGAAAACAGGGCCTGTTTTCATTTAATTTCCCATGCAACTGAAATGAAACAAGTCCAAGAGCCCTCAAATCCCAGGTTTGGACTCCCAATGCACTGAGCTGCAGCAGTGATGCTACCACAGGGCCACGCTGCAAGCCTCCCACAAGCCACCCATCTCCATCTACATGCCCAAGCCCATCTCAATTCCCTGCTGGGATGCTCCCAAATCCACTCCTTTGCATGAGTCCTCACACCTCCAGGGAATCAATCATTCCCAGCAGAGCCAGGACACTTAGGGTGAGGATGGGAGGCAGGGGCTGGGGGTGCAGTGCTGGGAAAAGAAACCTCACAGAGAACACTAATTTAAAATCCAGCCAGTTAAATTAATTACCACTAAAAGCGTCTCACCTGATTAGTTCTTTGCGCAGTTAATTGTGTTAACACCGCCAGACACTTGTTTATTTATTTGTCACCCTCTCTCTGGGGGCTGGTGGCCCCAGCAGTGTCCAACTGGGCTTCTCAGCTGCCTGGTGCTCAGGGGGCTGTGAGTCTCCAGCAAATGGGAACACACAGTAATAGGGAACAGCAGGATTTGGCCTCTAACACCGAGCAATTCCCATGGGTCCCTGAGCCAACTGACAGGGATTACTATTAGCGAGGTGCTTAGCAGATGGAAGAGACATTGCAAAATCACAGTGATGCCACAGGTGCAGAGGAGGTTGTTGGAGACTGTGGACCTCTCCCCCTGGAACCTCTCCCTAGGTGGGATCTGCTGAGCACATGGCCAAGCAGAGGAGCTGCACAACCTCCTTGTGTTGCTGCCAGCACTGGACCCAGCTCCTGCCTCTTCTGGCTCTGAACCAGCTGTGAACACCTCCTGAGCACAATGCAGCTAAAAAGCCCTTGACTCATTTGTTAGGCAGTGGCAGTGGCTCCCAACTCGCACACCTGCTCACTGGTGTAAACCCTGCCCTGTGCTGGGTGCCTCCTTTATCTGCTTCTCACATTGCCTTCCAGCTCCTTCCAGCACCCCTTCTCCTTGGCCCAGACACCATCCCACACAACCTTCCATGAGCTGGACACTGTAGAGCATCTCCAAAATGCGAATCTCTAGGTGCAGTGAACCCCTCATGCCTTATTTTCTGGGCTTGCACAGACCCTCCTGTGACCCTCTGTTCCTGGGGCATGGCCTAGGATGGAAACACCACCCTGTCTCTGATGCCAGGTGCAGAAGGTGAGATAAGGAGTAGAGGAAGGCTCTGCTGTGTCTCCCAAACCTGGGAACATACAGACACATCCCTGTGTGGCAGGGCTCCCAGCTGGTGCATCACAGTTACCACCCCACAGCCGGCTAAGCCGGGTGGTGCTCCCAGACGCCCACGGCTGCCAGTTGTGTACGCTGTGCTGAAAAACACAGCTGCTATCAGCTGTACAAACACAGCAGCCCTCAAAACACACAGCTGCTATCAGCTCTCAGCATCATGTGAAATACAGCACAACTCTTATCTCCCCTGCTGAGGCCCGGGAATCAGAGCATCCCGTGCTGAAGATAGGCAGAATGCTGGGGAATGAGCAGCTGTCCTCCAGAATGCCTGTGCACCCAGGATCGTGCAAACCCATGGATCACCAACACTTTTGACTGCTCCTCTGAAACAGCCACACTGCAGTAATCCTAGCCAGGGCTTCCCCTCACTGACTGCAATCCTCTCTGACAACTCTTTCCACCTACAGAGATGGCTGTTGTGGCATAGGGCTAGAGGGAGAAGCTACATCCCTTCTCAAATTATTCCCGAGGCATCATTTAATCTACTGGCTTTGATCCGAAGCTTGGGGCAGAGTGGCTGTTTCCAGCTGGGATCAGTGTGCCCCTCACAGGGCAGTGTGCAGCAGACAACCCTATGTACAGACAGTAGCGGGGTTGGCATGGCAGGAGCGGGGGCTGTGGGGAGTCAGTGTAGGAGCAGAGACTGTCCCCCTCAATGTGACATGCTGGGGTACTCACTTCCCACCCTCAGGTAGGTCTGGTACTTGAGGTGCCAGGAGGAGCCCTCATAGCAGGAGTACTGGCCACTCTGTGACAGGTCAACATTCTTGAGGATCAGGTAGGACCCGTTCAGGTGGGACTCGTCGATGTCGGTGCCGTTGGCTGTCCAGGTCACGGCTGCATCCCAGTCCATGGAGCCACACTTCATGGTCACGTCTGCACCTACCCGTTCATACTGGACGTGGCTGTCTGTGGGGAGGAAGAGGGGAAAAACAGGTGAGCTCAGAGCCCTTCAGCTCATTTGCCTTGGAGATGGGATCATAACTTCCCATCTGGCAAGTAAAGAGAAGGATTAGGGTGTGGACTGACACTGTGGTGGCCAGGGAAGCCCAAGTTCTGCTCCTGTCCCCAGCTGTGATTTATTTTAGACTAGAGTAGACCAACTGACAAATACCAGAGGATCATAGACCACCTCCACCCACAGGATGGCTACCTCTCACCTTTGCTATGGTGAACATGTGTCAGGGCTGCACATACCCAGCCAAACACCCCACAGCATGGCCAGATACACAAGTGCCAGTCATGTGTCTAGGTGACTTGTTGCAGGACAAAAACCAAACACACATATCAGAAACTCCCAGCAGAGAGATGACACAGCCCCAGGACTTGTCCCCAGCAAGCTCCATGTATTTACTAGCACAGATGGGAAGCAGGTAATTCTCATTGCAATTCCCTATCCAGGAAACCAGGCAGGAGGACTGCAACCTAAGCATGCTGTGCTGTGGAAAGGCACAGCTGCTTGGTGCATGCAGTGCTGTTTGTCTCCCTGTCTGGGTTTTCTTTTCTTTCCACAATAACATGATGCCTTGCTGAGCTGTTTGATGTAGCAGCTCACGAGTGGGGCAACACAGCTCATTGGGCACCAGCTGCCTAATTGAATTTTCTCAGGTTTCTGGACAGGAGCTGGAGCTGACATTCATTAATGATCCTTAGCAACTGAATATTTCCCGTGTTGCTACACTTGGCTGCGCTGAGCTGCATGTGGCAAGGATAAAA